CCAAAAAAAAAAAAAAAAAACAATTGATTGATGAAACAGGGAGACACTTGATAGGTCGTAAAATGTGCATGTTTTATATATTTATTTGCACTTTATATTTTTCGACCTATTTATTATTTGGATGGATTTTTTTGCTTTGATATTTTATGTGTAATTTTCAGCAATTTGGAGCAATTTGAGTCCCGAGCATTGGACGGGATTTCATTTGATCAATTTAGGGCTTTCCATTACCCGTCAATTTAGCCCGCCATGAAGAGAGCTTTAATTATTAGAGGAAATTACCCCTACTACGACACCTTACAAGAGTTATATTTCTAACACGACATATTAAACAAATTTGCACTTTTACGACATGATATTAATAGCTTTACTATAAAACAAAAACTATACGTTTTTTTTTATTTAATGTGGGATGTCAAAGGTTGCATCTTTATCGGAATCTCAAAACCAATAGGAATCGTGCCCAAATCTTTCCTCTCCCAAAACCACTTTCTCAATTTCTCAAAATAAAGAAGAGCACCCAAAAATCACTTTTTGCTCTGGATTGTCCATGCGAAGAAGATTTGTGCATCATCGAAAAGCCTTGATCATGGTTGAGAGGATGTACGACAGAGACGATCGAGTCCGCGTAGCCACAAGAAGAAACCCTCTTGCAAACGGAAATTGGTGCAGAAAAAGATTCAATTTGGGAAAAAAAAATCAAAAATTCTGATTCAAAGGTCCATCTGAACGATTAAGTCGGTATATTTTTCATATATTTATAATTCATGCGAACTTGGGGTGTGTTTTGTTGACAATATCATTGTCGATTACATTATGGTATTGAAGATGATTTGTGGATTGTCATGGGGGGTTGGTCCTGTGAACCATACCTGTTCATGTTGAACTTGGATAATGGGACGGTTGACTTTTTCTGAGAGGACTTTGTAGATCTCTACTTCATTTTGTTCAACAGAGTTCAATAAGGATGTGGTGAAAAGCGTTGAATACTAATCTATTCTAATCCCAATTTTTCTTGACTTGGTTAAGTTTTATTCCAATAGAACATAGTCAAAGAATGATGTAAGCCACATGAGGAAGGTGATATGTCATCCGCTCGATATAGTTGTGGTCGACAACCTGCCTCAACAGAAAACATGTAATTTTGTTTTTGACGTACACATTTAGATTCATTTCACCTTTTTTTGCATAATGTCGAATACGTAGTGAATAACACTTATCTCCAATTTTATTTTTTCCATTGTAGGGATTGCAAAGTATTTGTATCGTCTTTTGTGAGCATTTTTTTAGGTAATATCAACGTCTCGATAGATTATGATGTCGATATAGAGCGGCTGAGGTATGCATGTATTCTGTTCAAGCATGGCAAGATGAAACAAGACGAATCATGCGAGAGCAAGGATGAATCACCTGGTTCGATACCGACTGCGGATAAACGTAATTTAACGGCTGATTGGTTGATAGTTCAGTCCTTTTTTTGTTGAAATTTACTATGTTGGATGTCTACGTGCAGTCATTGGTTTTATATTCGTTTGATATCTTTTGGGTTATTCAGCATATACAGTACTTGTTTTTATATCCCATGATAAGAAATGATCTATCTTTCATTTGTGAATTATTATGTGGAACCTTAATTTAATTTATTTACTTTCGTTTCCATACAATACATAAACATGGACACACCATTATAAGTCTTAAACATGACATATAACATACATAAACATGTGTTTAAATCTAGTATGGTATCGTAAATATGAACTAATCAAAAAATTTCTTAATTTATAAACCTGAAATAAACCTCATAATCGTATGCATAAACCAAAATATACCAATACAAAACTTTGTAATTTAGAAACCAGATAATAAACTTTAAAATGGTATACATAAACCAACAATGTACCAACCCAAACTTTCATGATTTAAAAACTTAACATAAACTTCAAACTTAACACAAACTTCAAACCTAACATAACCTTCAAAATTCAAATTCGACATTACATTATTACATCCTGATTTTTTTGGGATTAGGACAAGTCTTCATGTTATGCCCTTTCTCCTCACACTACACCTATTTTTCGTTCGAGGTTCCCACCCCGCTTTTAGCCGTTGTTTGCGTCGTCGGCCAGGTTTTACTCTCCCAATGGGGGGGTTGACTGTTCGTTCTGATGTAGGCATTTCCATATTGACTGAATCATTTCCTTCTACAGGTAAAACTGGATCTTCGTAAGTTGCCAACATAGTTCTTGTTAGATAGTAAACAGAACAAAACGGTATGGGATCGAGGTGGAGGGATCTAATAACGCGAATGGCATGCGGGCATGGCAATTCATCCATTTGAAATCGATTGCAATTGCAAGTCTTTGACTCTAGATTCACAATATACCCATTCTGTTTGTTCGCGACCTTGTATACCTTATCACTAGCCTTTTGAACCTGTACACACACAAATATTACGTTGAAAAAAACTATCATAAATATATAATTTTTTCTTATAATTGAATACGTATGGGCTTACAGATAGGATAGACGCAAATTTATAGTTTTCCTCTAGCATTCTGTGTGCTTTTTTTGTTAGAGTGGTGAATGTTGACTTTGCTTCATCCCGATTTGCCACATTCCACTTTTGTTGTAGAGCTCGTAATGATTCCAACAATGTTGTTATTGGAAGATCACGCACATCTCTAATGGCCGAGTTTATTGTTTCCGCTGCATTTGAGGTCATTGTGAAAAACCTATTATTTGGACAATGAACACGAGCCCACTTGTGTATTCCAATACCCTCCAGGAAAGGCGTAACACGCGGATTTAGTTTTTCAATATCGGACATATGTTTATTATACTCCTCGACCGTATATGCCCTCGCTGCTGCAACAAATGCTTCTTTCACTTCGGCTGTGTGTATACGAAAATGTTTACGCAAATTGTGTGTCATGTGATAGGTACATAAGCAGTGAGCAGCTTCCGGAAACACCTACATTACAAATGTGAGCAACAGTCATTTATGTCACAAATACTAACGTTTTATAATTTTCTTTGCTAGAGACCTGTTATTAAAGGCTTATGTGTAGTTTATAAGATAGACAATAGAACTTTTTACATTAAAAACAATTAAAAAAAAAACACACACACACACACACAAAATATGATACAAAGTTTCAAAGAAAAGACAGGAGCCTGACAACCCATTTGATAATTTGATGAACATTACATAAATTTCTTGTTTGTGGATAAATTTTGCTTCAATTGTTTTAGATACTTACATTTAACTAATCAGGTATATGTAACATATTCGTATAAAATGCAGATTGATACTTAATTAAACCTCCAGGCATGTACTTTATATCCATTTTATTTATACTTTCTAAAATGTTTATGTAGTTAAAAAAAACACATAAGACAAAGCCAAAATAACAAATCAAAAAAAATTGAGATACAATTTAAATTTCAGCATTACCTTTGCAACTGCATGTTTAATACTTTCATGACCATCTGATACGATACACAAAGATTCTCGTCCTTCGAGCGTTTCTCGTAATTTGGTGAAAAACCATGTATATGATGCGTTGTTCTCTGAGTCTACCACACTAAAAGAAAGAGGAAGTATGTGGAAATTTGCATCCTGGCATGAAGCTGTTATAAGGACGCCTCCGTAAGCCGAACTCAAGAAAGTTCCGTCAACAACAATGATCGGCCTACAATGATGCCACCCTTTTATTGAAGCATTCAGGGAAATAAACACATACATGAAATGCTTATCTGATGTAGTGGATAATTTCACCACACAGCTCCCTGGGTTCGCTTTACAAAGATTCTGTAAATATTCTCGCACAATCTCGTACGACAAATCTGGCTTTCCACGAACTTCATCAATAGCTTTCCGTTTAGACCTCCATGCCTTTTGATAAGACAAATCTGTCCTATAATGACATTGCATGTCTTGGATTATATCCCCAGGACTATATGTGGCCTTCAAATTTGTATATTTCCCTTTAATAAATTCACTAACAAAGGTCGACGTAGTCTGGCGTTGCTGACTCGTGCGTACCTCGAAAGGACATGTGTGGTCGGTCGAGACCTCTCTTATTTTTAACATGCTCGACTTTCCAATGCGCGAAGCCTTCATAAACCATTTGCACTCTGTACTTACACATTTGACATAGTATTGCTTCGGGCAAGATTTCTCCACCTTGAATTGGTATTGGTTCTTTATTGCATGCAAGCTTATCAATCTCTGAAGTGCCGCTTTGCTCTTGAATGAATGTCCAACAACAATGTCATATTTCGCATCCTCATCTGACTGAAAAGTTTTCCCATGGAACGAGTTTAACTCAAGCTTATCTTCCGTATATTTAGCCTGTTCAAACATCGTATCAGCCGCTCGAAGCGCAATTTCCATGAAATTCATAGAATTTTCATCATGATCATAACCATCATCTGGCTGCATCCATCTTAGAGGAGGTATATCGCACTCGTATGATGTTTGATGAGGTTCAATGGAACTTTGACACGGATCTACTGCGCCGACTAACGGTTCAACCTCTATGCATATTGGGAATTTTGTGTAGTCTGTTTCTCTTGCCTTCATCTCCATATAAAATACAAGGCTGTTGTCATCATATATGTACATACGGAGATATCCTTCTTTCACAACATACCCGAGTTTCAGTCGATGGGTCGAACTGTTTACACCGAGTTTATCAAAAACCAAATTGCACACGCCATTGTAGCTACAATATTGGTTTATTACAATACCTTCAACTTCGTAGTTCATGTATTGTTCATTTTCCCAAACTCCACTATGGTGCAGGAACACCAAAAAATTCAACATTATCTACAAACACAACAGAAATCACACAAGTTCATGAAATAATCAACTTGTTTCACGGAAAAAAAAAAAAAA